GTCTCGTATTTTGGTCCGACGTCTAAGCATTTGGTAGACAATGAAGTCCATAGCGCAAAGGGCCCAGTGCTAGCTATGCTTTGCTGCAGATCGCATTGAAAACCCAAGCCTGTGGTACGTCTTGTTCGTTTTCACACTCGCTCATATAACTCAAATAAAGTGCATATCGAAACAGAACCTCCCTCAGTTCCTCTTTGCGTATGCTTCTCCCCACTCCGATCTGCCAGTTATCTATATCCAACTTGACCCCATTTGCACCCATCTCCACAGCCCATGACTGCCCACGCAAGCCAGCCCACAGCGCCATTAGGAACGATTCGTCAATGTGCAGGTTCTGTGGCACGCTGCATCTTGGTGACCAGATAGACGGTCGTCGACGGCGTCGTTCTGGGTCTCGCGCGATCCTCATAAGGGTGTCTTGAGCAACGACCGGATCGAGAAATGATACAAGTACTTCAAAGGTTCGCTTTGCAAGTATGGTGTTGAAGAACCGGGACGTCAGACGGACTTGCTTAATAGCCGGGGCTTGGAGGTTGTCAAGGATCTGGATAACGATTTCTGTGGGGAGCGTTTCCATTGTAACAGGCCACAAGGGAGCCATCATAAAGGGTTCAGTGCTGCGTCGTCAAGTTCGCGGAGTGAGTGAAGACGAGGGCAATGGAAAAACAGAAGCGGCGGCCTTCATGATAACGAATGGCTATGTCTTGCTCTATGTACCTCCCTTTTTGCGAATAATCTTCCGACCTGATGCCTTGCCCGCCCTACAAACTCCCAATCCGTAAGGGTTCTCATGTGAGACAGCCAACACAGTCAATGTAGATCCACCAATTTGGTCAAGTACAAGAGGCCAATTAGCTCGTAAGGGCTCTCGTAAGGCTTGCGGGGACGGTAAGCCAACCAGACTGACTGTGTTTTTAGTCTATCGGCGTGGGGATTCTAGGGGTGTAAGATGCCATCCATATTCGACTGTACTCGACTAAGGCAGTGTCTTGTTTCTTGGACTTCGGTTTATATTCATGACTTCTTCAAAAGACCACTTTACTCGCTAGTCTCTTCTTGCCACCATGCCTTCATTAAACGTAACCTCTCCGTCCTCTCCTTAGCCATCCTCCTCCCTTCCTCTGTTTTCATCATGCCCTCAAGCAACAGGAGCTTGTCATCAAAATGCTCCATAGTGTTCTCCAATGTCCGACTCTTGGCACCTCCAAATGCGAACGTCCTCGCAATACCTACGGCTCCAATGGCATCTAGGCGGTCGGCATCCTGAACAACGGCCAGCTCCGGATACTTGCCCACAAGAGCCCGTGTCCGCGCCGGGTCCTTAACTTCGGAGGAGTAGCTGACGCCGAGACAAATGGCCTGGACGGTGTCGGCAAGGGTCTGCGGTGCACCGAAGGACATGAGCACGGATGCTACCATGCGAGAAGGGTCCTCGCCGGGGCGGAGGTACTTCTTGTCGCCAACGTCGTGGAGCAGTGCGGCCAGCGTGACCAAATCTTGGCGAGTTGAAGGGGTATGAGACTGGATATGCTGCGAGAGACGGAGGACACGCTTGATGTGGTTGAAGTCGTGCGATGCGTCATACTTGGACATGTATTCCTCAACATAGTTTGTCACTTTGCCAACAAGGGCGTCATCAACTGACCAGTCTTGGGTAGTCATTCTGTGAGGTCTGCGACCTGAGATGGCTATGTCTGCAAACAGGACGACAGATTTGGCGTTTCAATAGAGGAAACGTGTCTCGATATCTCACGGTAACCTGAGATTGTCCTGAGGATGACTCAAGCACGGAATAGTGGAGGTTGGAAATAAGACCCTAAGATTCTATGCCATGAACTGGCCCTGGACACGAAATGGAACTCCTCCTAGCCTTTGTAGCACAGCACTCTGATTTGAGTACCTATCTACGGTAAGGGTCATAAAACGCAATCTTTAAGAGGGAAGTTCATTCAGATGCCTGAGGTCGAATATATCACGCTTGTCCAGAGAATGAAAGACGCGATGGCCCGACGTGTTTAGAGAAGGATAATCTGGACACAAAACGGGTCCCCCACGTGACGGGCTACCAGATTTCCAATTGGGACTCATTATTGCATTGAGAAAGTTCTCTGATGTACCTCATAAATGAAGTCATCTGTGTTTCATTTCTGTCAGACTCAACATTCGACAGATGTCTTGAACAAGCAAGTATCGTGATTCTCAACTGTGGCCTCTCATCTGATGATTACTAGCACCTCTATTCTTTCTTCTATTTCCTTTGAGAAGTATTATGCAAAGGGAACACGATTTTGCTTGGAGTTGAAGCCCTTTGTCCACATTCTACCGCTTGCCCGCTTTCTTACTTAAGTACTAATCTATATGTACCTACTAGGTATGGTAGGCAGTCAAGGTACTGTAGTATATTATGAGTGTATGAATAAGTATCAACTTGTACTACAGTGTAGGCATTGACTGTGCTGAAACATGATTCAAAATGTCTAATAATAGACATTACTTGTCACTTGTAGACTGTTTTGATTACTAGATATACTGGATTTGTGCCATGCAGCATATTAATGGTGAAGTGTTATTCTTCATGAACCTTAGGACAAAAACACATCGATACGAGCGAAAAGGTGTTATCTGAGACAAAGTTCGTGGCATGCAAGACCATCTGAGTGTACCAGTGACCTGTTGCCAAGTGATTGGCACGCGCTGTGGGAAAGCCGTGTTCTATGCTGTCGATACAGTATCAATTAGAAGGACAACAAAAGCCCAGACTCACTGCTCGACATACCGATTGCCCATTCGATCAAGCAGAGGAAAGGTCACGCTCTGACCGAGATTCCGCAACGAGGAACCTTCATCCGTATCATGGAGTCCCTAGAGTCCCCCTCTTTCGAAAGGCAGCCATCATGGGGAACGACTTGGTTACCCTGGCCTCTCGCGGTGTCAGAAGATTTACATAAGTGCCTTGGAAATTATATGAGGGGAAAAGAATAAACTGGTCAAAGTGCATGCTAACTTCATGATGAATTGTGTTAATGCAGTCTGAGCTTTTTTGTCGTTGGGGACTTCAGTCCTGGGTTTTCTGTCGGTTCCCTACCTAACCTGGTAAATAGAGCGGTGGTGGGCGACTTCGTGTAAGTGTGACGGACCTCACATACCCGCCGAAGCTAAAAGGCATAGCATGCATAGAGATGGATTAGAGAGGACTGATGCTACCGATGCTAGACCCGGGAAGGTAGAAGGCATCGGGGACACGCGGACGGGCCGTAGAGGGGGAGATGGAGATAGTACGCTTAGACCCATTATGCTTATCGAACGGGCACCTGGCCTGGCATGTTTTATTTTGTCTGTGAGTCGAGGTCATCTTAATGATAGTCATAACTTGTCATCAGAGATTTCAGTCTGCATAAGAATGAGGAGCGAGCAGAGGTGGCTGGATAGGGGGATACAGTTAGACGAGGCCTCGATATGTATGTACCTTGTAGGTGAAGGCCACCGCCAATTCGCATGTCTCTCTTCTGGGTCATGTACTCTGTAAGCGTAGCGCAGACGCGGCAAACCCACACTACCATTGTCGACTTGCATCTGAAGCGTGATATGGCGTACATACTACCGCCAATACGACAACAGCGGAGCATACAGTTCCGCCGTGATTCTGAGAGCAAATCCATCTAGTGAGTCAATTATTGACTGGACCAATTCTTCAAGTCGGGCGCATGAACTCGAGGGTTGCACTACAGCTCGCCCGACTAGAGAGCGGCCCAATAGTGGCCAGAGGTGTCAAGCGGTGCAGTGCAAGTCAAAGGCAGAACATTACGGCAGATGCGAGGCAAGGCGATGCGATGTGCGATGTGCGATGAGCTTAGGCCTTGCATGATCCATAGATTTCAATGTGCTGCTGAGGCCACGAGAGCCGACAAATCTGGTGTCTAGACCGTACAAGAAATGACACTGATGTTGCGTCCTTGCATGGCTGAAATGCAAGTGGTTGATGTGAGATGTGGTTGACGGGTGTTGGTAATTGGCTGTGATGCAGCGTGACGAGATGTCGAATCTAGCGGTGCCACAAGCCAATGACGGCGTTGGAATAGACGCTCTACGGGGGTCGCTCTTTGGGCCTGTTTAGCGGTAACGGGCTTCTGATTGGCGCAGTGTTTCTCCCCGCTCTGGGGCTGCTTCTAAATATCGCAGCATTTAGCATGGGTTGTGCCCCACTCTTGATGCACGCACTTACTTGATCCACACTTGCTTAACCGCCCACGCTTGTCCCGGGAGGGAAGAGGGAACCGTTCAATTGTGATGGGTCGAGTGATAGTAGATGACATGAACTCGGCATTTCCTTGTCTGCAGTCTGTGATTGGTTGTCTCTGTAGTTGAAGAGTCCTTGTTTCTTGTAATTCGTAATTCACACGGGCAACAGATGTTATTGTCAATACATTGGGTCCATCACAATTATCTTCCTAGGTAGGTACCTATCCATCCATCCACATGATTGATGATGATTGATGATGGATATTGGATCTATGTATCCATCCTTGCAAAATGGCTGTGGCCGCTATACACGGCCGTTCCTTATAAACAGGACCAACACCCGCCCCCAAAGCCTCTCTTTTCTTTCTTTCTCTTCTTCTTCAGCAAGTCCTTTTCAATCGCAAATCCTGTTTTTGTTCTTGGGTCTCTTACCCTCCCCCTTTTGTGTTTTTCGTTGTTCACCGTGGAGCCGGCCTCTACATCTATCTTTCTAATTTTCGTTGTCTCTAATCAAAGATATCCGTCAACTCCAAAGCCTACTCAATAAGTTGCTGGCCAGCTTAGAGACATCAACATTTAACGATTATCCTGTTTTTTTTGTTCGTCCCGCCTGTTATAATCATCTAATTGCAGAAATCACGGATTTCACTTGCTCGCGCCAACTATCAAACAATATTGCATTGATCAAACTTTCATTGTTCGCATCATCGACTCACCAGACAACTCAAACGCATAATTGAATCAAATCAAATCAAAGCAAAATGTCGGCTGTTCAACTTTCTTTCTCTCTCCGCGTCTCCTCTGGCGTCAAGACTGTCCACCTTCTCGGCTCTTGGGACGGTTACGTCGGTCAGCTCCCTCTCTCCAAGGACAAGTCCTCCTCCAAGTCTGGCTCCTGGAAGGGCACCTTTAGATTCCAGAACTCAACTCTTGAGGCTGGCCAACGATACTGGTACTACTACATCATCGATGGTTACCATGTTGCCCACAACCCCAGCGTCACCTCAACCATCGAGCCCACCACTGGCCGTGAGCTGAACGTTCTTGACGTCCCCACCGACTCTCACAAGTCCTCGTCCCACCGCTCTTCATCCTCCAAGTCTTCCTCAAAGTCTTCCTCTTCCTCCAAGTCCTCATCCAAGTCATCGTCGCACAAGTCTTCCTCCAGCAGCAAGAGCTCTTCTCACTCCTCCAAGGACAAGGAGTCGCGATCTTCGCGATCCTCACGCCACAGCTCTAAGCTCTCAGTTGACATCCCCAAGGGTCGCCCTCTGTCAATCTCCCAGATCCAGGCCCCCAAGCCAATGTCTCCCCATGCGACTAAGCACATCTTGGATGCTTCCTACTACGACAACGAGGAACTTGAGGAGCTTGCCGACCGCTTCGGCAGCGCCAACATCGAGGACGAGTTCATCACTGACTTCAGCACATCGCCAATCTCCTCCAGTGGTTCTTCTTTGTCCTACCGCTCCGACAGCTCTTCACCCAACTCGTCCCTCTCCGGCTACAGCACTCCCGGCTCCGACGTCAGCTCTTGCACTTGCGAGCGCTATGGTATTACTCGCAAGGGCGAGCGTGTCAAGCTCGACTGCGGCGGATCCCGCTGTGGCTACGATGACGATAGTGATTCCATCTGCTCTAGTGGCAGTGAAGACGAGTATGAGTATGAAGCCTCCGTCTCGCGCACCAGCTCTCGCCGCCACGGCGTGGTCGCATAAACGCGCCAGGTTGCGGAGGGCTCTGTGGCAACAGGTTGAGAGAACCTATAGCCGTTCATTCTTTAAATCGGGCATCCCCTGGCAGCACACTCGCGCCGGGATGACTCGACCTATGTTGTTGTGGTAATATCAGCAATCATTTTTCTGTTCCGACCTGCGTCACGCTGTCAGTCGGGATGGTACGCCGAGCTGGTCTCGTACGTGCCACCGCGCCGAAGTGTTGATCGTCAGCTAGGTCGATGCTGCGGCCGTTCAGCGCAGTCCTCTCGTGGCTACGCAGACGTAATTTTTCTTCCTCACTCTGTTGGTTCCTGAGTGAGCTGGGAGTCCTCGAAAGAGGCTGCCCCAGAAGCAAACAATGTCAACGCATGAGAATCCCATCTGTCCTGATGATGGGATCCCGTCTCTTGCAGACAATATCTGGATGTGGTTCAGGGCCTGGCGATTGATGAAGGTCTAGACTAGCCATTACGAAGTATGAGGTGGATGATGAAGGACAGTCATGAGCAACGATTTTATGAATGAAATAGCTTAGCTGTCTAGGATAGACGACGATTGAATCTATTCATGAAACGAGATAAGAGGCCTTGAGTAATAGAGCAACGTGATGCTGTGAAGCTATCGATTTCGGTCTTTCGGTTCAATGTTACTCCCCATCGTACTGCACTTCTAACAGGTACTAAGGTGGTAGTGAGTAAGGTAGGTAGGGCCTCCAGGAGGCGGGGCCCCAATCTTATGGCGGGGTAACTCCCTATCATGTATTGCCCAGCTGTAGTATCACAAACTCATCTTCACCGTACTTGTAACGTCTTTCTACACGAAACATTGCATTGTATCTCTGGTTTATGTAAGACGAGGCCCGAGGTCACCAGTGATCAGTTTCGAATTCAATTTGAGTGCGTGCCACTTTCTTCCTCAACCACGTTCCCTCCATCTCCTTCGGTCATTCGTCGAGCTTCACTTAACACGATCTCAAGTGTAGCATCGCCAAACTGCAAATATGTCCGACGAGCAAATCATACTCCCCATCATCGACTCCCACATTCACCTCTACCCAGCGGCCGAAACAGACTCCCTCGCTTGGTACACACCCGATGGCCCCCTTGCCGGCCAACATTCCCTGGAAGAATACCGCGAAGCTACCTCTTCGGCACCGTCTCTCCTAGGCTTTGTCTTTGTCGAAACAGACCGCAAGAATGATGTTGAGTCTGGCGCAGTCGATGGCTCCGGCTGGGAGCAGCCTTTGGCTGAGGTCTCGTGGCTCAAGCGTGTTGCGCTTGGCCAGCCGCGCGAAGGAGAGGGCCACAGCCCCGAGGATGCAAAGCTGTGCCTCGGTATTGTACCCTGGGCGCCGTTACCAAGCGGCCCTGGGGTTCTAGAGCGTTATCTTGATCGAGTGAAAGAGGAGGCCGGCGATGCTTGGCCTAAGATCAAAGGGTTCCGCTACTTGCTACAGGACAAGCCTCATGGCACTATGCTGGACGATAAATTCATCGAAGGCGTCAAGCTTCTTGGTCGACGAGGATTTACCTTCGACGTTGGCATTGATCAGCATCGACGCGGAAAGAAGCAGCTCGATGAGGTGATCGAGTTTGTTGACCGTGTTCACGATGGTGTTCCCGAGGAGGAGAAGGTCACATTGGTGCTAAGTTCGTGCAGCCCTTCTCCTTGCCCTACTTCATTCTAACAGCGTCGTCTTAGACCACCTCTGCAAACCCGACTTCAGCATCTATAACCTTACATCAGACCCCAGCTTTCACGCCTGGCGTACTGCTGTCTACACCCTCAGCAAAGACTCTCACGTCTACATGAAGCTCTCCGGTGGCTTCTCCGAGATGCCTGACTCCCTACGAAACCAGGACCCCAACCACATCTTCGAGGCTACTCTCGCTTGGCTCGGTATTGTCCTCGCTACCTTTGGTCCCAGCCGTATCATGTTTGGCAGCGACTGGCCTGTCTGCACTGTCAACACCGACAATGCCTGGCCTAGATGGCGTAGCATCGTCGAACGCATGTGTTGGATGGCTACGCTGAGTGATGAAGAGCGCGCAATGATCTTTGGAGGTGCGGCCAAGAAGGCTTATGGCCTCTAAACTGAGGAACGGCATTATTAGGGCAAATACTATATAAATATAAAAGCCTAAAGAAAGCTTCCTTGATGAGATACACGAGTGTAAATAAACAGAAATTCTCATAAGAAAAATAAAGGTAACCCTTGCTATGAATGAATCTCATGATTTACCTCAGAGACGACTTTACAACTGGCCTTTTGACAGAAGCTCCAAATCTCAGGAAGGAAAAGAAAATCAATTATGTTCGAGAAACTCCAATCTACAACCAACATCCATTGTAAAATGCAACGCCGGGCTCCCATGACTATCAGTCGTAGAAACGTGAATAAACAATGTCATGTCAGGGCTCTAGAGCAAGCTCGTGGCACCCCCCGAGCATATACCATGCAGAAAAACAGGCTCCAGTCATGCAGTTTTATGTGTCATTAGTTTTCGCGTTCATCTGCCCCTGTGAGGCTCATTGTGTTTCTCCCCATCCAATATTACTCTACTCCACGTCCTCGGTAGTTGCCCATCTTCTCAATGGAGTTCATGATGCCGCTACGGGCCATGCCGCCTGGACGAGGCAAGCCACCTGCGCTCTTTGTTCGCTCGTGAGGTGCTCGGAGTCCCAAACCTGGCGCGCGTAGTCCTGATGCACGACTGACACTGCTTCTAAAGTGATCTGCACTTCGTTTTGGCGTTTTAGTCTCAGGCTCTCGATCATGTTGTCTCTCATGAGGGTAACGAGACGCAGATGGAGGCTGTTGAGCTTGTTGCTGTGGTTGAGGCTTTGGTGTCTGCGCAACAAAGCTCTGCATACTCATCATCTCCTCGGCAAGTTGCACAAGCTCTCCCTTCTCTACGCGCTCCTTCTCCAGCATACTGCGCAGTGACTCGTTGTCGAGCTGTACTGTGTGGACAACTGCCTCAAGTCGTTGGATGTCAGCATTCAACTCCTTGATTGCTGCGCTGTCTCGCACTGCTTGGGCCTTGCGCTCATCGGCCTCAATGTTGTCGGGCTCGACTCTGCTCATTGTTGTATCTCGGCAGACGCGCAGACGTTCGTTCTCCTCGACAAGTTCTCTGATTTTGCTTTCAAGCTCATGGACACGCTTCTCCCACCGAGTCTCGTATGACTTCTTCAAGGCAGTGACCTTAGATTCGTGCTTGCTCTTATAAAGAGCATGAAGCTCGCGAGCCACCCGCTCGACTGCAATCTCAACCTCGTGATTGGTGTCGTTTGAACTCTTGGGCTTTTCGGGCGACGACTTGTCAGTGTCTTTCCCGGCACGCATACCCGCCATCTTACTCTCCGCCTCTTGGTGCAAAATCTCGGCTGCCTCACGTCGCTTCTCGCTCTCTTCCAACTTCTGTTCGAGTTCTTCCTGTTCTCTTTGGCTCTCCACAATTTCTTCTTTGGCCTTCCGCAAGACATGTTCCATCTCACGACCGCGGTTCTCCCAACCTTCTTTCTCAGCAATAAGTTGCTCTTTGATAGAGCGTTCCTCGCGGAGCTGCTCCTGGGACTCACCCACTCGCTTCTCTGCATCGCCGACTGCGGCCTTGAGCGATTGCACTTCGGCTTCCTTACCGCTCAATGAAGCTTTGAGTGAGCTGATCTCTGACAGAAAGCTTGATTTGAGAGACTCAAGTTCTCTCGCGGTGATACTGGGAACGCTTCGAGGTGTAGGCATAGGGGGGATATCAAAGTCGATGAGGTTGGCAAATCCGCCACGAGAAGGTGTCGCAGTTACATCAGGTGCTGTGCGAGATGGAGAAAGCCCGCCCTTGGCTGGTGACTTTTGGGGTGATTTCTGTGGAAAACGCAGCTGCTCTGTAAAGTCCAGAAGATTCGTTGTGTTTCCTGAGTCGTGTCTCGGTCTGGCTCGCGACGTTCGTGATGGGGAGGGATCAGCTCGTGTGTTTGCCCGAGGCGTGAGACCACCCATGTCGGACAGCTTGGTGGGACTTTGGCCGAGTTTGGCGAACATGGTTAGGTTGGGCACAGCCGAGAAGGTACTGAAGGTACTGATCGCTGTATCATCAGGGCACACGGAATCGTCGACCTCCATTTCCCCAGAAGGGTTAACGTTGATGGTGCCGGTAGTGACATCCATGTCGTCCAGGCCGCCTTCCAGGACGCTCTGCTCATCTTCAAATATCTCAATTGCGCGCTTGAGGCCTTCATTTTGCCGCACTGCATCCTCTAGGCTCATCGTACTCTCTTGGGAGGTAGGGCGGGCTGTGTTGAGAGGGTTGCTGATCTTAACAGGAAAACGCTTCTCAGGAGACACCTTTCTAGGGCTGCGAGCATTGGGGCCCAGTCTATCTGTTGGCCTTCCGTCTCTCACCTCTCGCTGGTCGGTGAGGATCTTCAACGGTGAAAGAGTCGCGCCAGAGAGGACTCGGGAGTGTCGTGATTTTGAGGGAGAATGGTTCTCCTGATCGGAAAGCGCAGTGTCGTTGAGGGTAGACACGAAAGGAGATGATCCCTGAGAGGGCTGACTCTGTGATTCCGAGGACGTAGAGACTGTTCGTACCTCGTAGGAGTCGTATCGCTGAGCAGTAGCTGGTGTCTGGATATTGAGATTTGAACTTTGCGCGGGCGACAGTGGTGTTTCCATTTTGATGCACGCTGGATCAAGGAAATGAGATAATCAGACAGTCAATATGTGTAGTCACAGCTCCAGTCGGTAGAGGATATCGTTGACTTGATAGTTTGGTTCAAGCCACTTTTGAGCAGTGTTGCTTGTTTAGAAAGTCGAGTTCAACGGTCACGCTAACACCCAATATGTTGACTTTTGGTAGTTGACCCGACAACAAGCAACAGTGGATCTCTCACGTGGTAATCATACCTTAATCATCATCCAACAGGTACCTACTAACCTTAGTCCTTGTATATTAGTAGTTTCTTAGGTAAGGTAAGGTACCTGTAAATACGAACGTAAATACCTACTAAGTTACAAACAAGACACTCATTTCACCTACGGTTGCTTAGTTGCGTTATGGCATGCCAATGTTCCTTTCATCTCACAAAGTTATTGCCAAACTGACTTGGAACTTAAGCACATCTGTGGCCATGCAAGTGCTTCGTACACTTGTTCTCACATACACTTCGTAACACTTATCGCCATGACACATCTGCACAGGAATTCGGGCGCATATGATCCAAATCTCTAATTGTATCTATTCTCGAGAAAAAAAAAACAACTTTTATTGTTCCTTCATAATTCGTTACCTAATAAAGCAACATTTCAAAAAAGAAAAACACACATCGTCTGTGCCCGCGATTTCTTGACCACGGTGAAACGCGAGCACATAAGAAAAGAAGTGAAGAAAGGAGAAATGTAAGATCGTAATTCGTAAATCAGAGCCTTTCCCATAGGTTCCTTTCGACGTCTCGACTTTCCAACATTTTGGGCATGCCAAGACAGCTAAGTAAACAAGGGTCCACTCCAAACTCATCATTCCCGCCTGGGCTCATTACAGGCAGTACTGTCCCATAGTATGCGATCATATCGCATCTCGGAGCAAATCATCGAAGGGGAAACCTTGCTGCAGTGACTCTTTCCAGAAATTAAGCCTCCATGCAGACCGTGACTCATTAGTCATTGTATATCCGTGACAGAGCATGCTAGATCAACAAAAATCGGAAGTTGTATCGTGAACTCGTCGGCATCATCTTTGCAATCAAGGGCTTTCCGATGAGGGACACTCCAGTGCCTAACAAAAAAGAAAGAAAAGAGTTCTTTTTAGAGAAAAAAAAAAGGAAATTGAGAGAATGTGTTTTCGTGTCCCTGATTGTCGGAGATGGGACGTATCATAATTTCCACTTGCACTGTTCAATGAGTGCACAGGGGAGATGCCACTGTTCCTTGCAAAACTTCGACAACAAAACACCGCGGGTCATTTATCGGTCCTGAAAACTAACCGAAAGATTGCTGTCTTCGAGGAGCGCTAATGGCAGAGGGAGGCCGGGCGCCAGTATCGTACACCGGGGCAGAAGGATACGAAGGAGACGCAGCAACAGTGGATGCAGGTCGAGCCAAGTTGTCATAAACAGGAGCAGGGGCATAGGAGGGAGAGGTGCCGATGCTAGAATGAGGGCGATTCATGGCGTCATACTGAGGAGCAGGGACACTTGTCTCCATGGTCTTGTGTCGCTTCAGGTCGAAGCTGTTCAAATGATCATGTACATTTGGACCAGGACGTGGCGTCTCTGCCTCATCATCTCGTCGTTTGTATGGACTCATGCCATTCATCACACCGGGCTGGCCATATCCGTTGTGCAGGGTGTAGAATCCACCAGGAGAAACCATGCTGTCATTCGATGTTATGGTTTTACGCCGCTTTACTTCGAAGTTGCCTGCCGAATCATGCCCATTGGGACTTGATCGGTGAACGTCATCATCCTCATCTCGACCTCGCTTGAGCATACCCCCGTCTCCATTGGCAAGAGGCTGATGATGAACATTTGGTAGAGGCTGCTGAGCATATGCATTTGGCAGACCAGGCATACTACCAGGCATGTTGTTCATGGTGTCGTGTGCGTTATGCGCTGACCTATGAACCTCCTCGTCTTCCTCTCTGCCCCGCTTGAGCATATCTCCTCCATTCTGCATAGGAGGCTGATGTACATTCGCAAGGGGAGGCTGTTGAGGGTAACCATTAGACATTGCATGCATGTTACTCATAGGATCATGTCCATTAGAGACTGGTCGGTGCAGATCTTCTTCTTCTTCTCGCCCTCGTTTAAGCATACCACCTCCGTTTGGCATGGGGGGCTGGGAACCATTTGTGAGAGGCTGGGGAGTGCTTGCGAGAGACTGAGGACCATTTGCAAGGGACTGAGGAACGTAGCCTCCGGTTGGCAAACCAGGCATCATTGGGTGATGCTGCCCAATTGAAGGCAAAGCATTGGGAGCAGGGGGTCTCTGATTACCGAGTCCTTCGTGCTTGCGGCGCTCGGCAGCTGCCATGACCTGACTGGTCCGGTTCGAGTTCGACGGATGATAAAGAAGTGCCCCGATATTGTGGAC